TAAATACAATGGTAATACTAAGCAAATATGATAATGCAAACAAGAAAATAAATGCTTAGTTTTCCTTGAAAAAGTGATGTCGATTTTTGAAGACTTTGTCGGCGATAAAGTTTCCTCTACACGATTCCCCAATACAATAATTAGACGTCAATTTGAGCAGTGGAACGTCCTGTTGTCGTTTTAATTTTTATTTAAAACAGTTTAGTTCAAGTACAAAGTTAAATATCCGAATGTATATAATTTTGTTTGAAAAAATCGTCTTTGTTGTCATTGTACGGTGATATCGATTTAGCCCAGTTTAGATTCTGATATCGACAAATCGCTTAATCGCTCAGTATATTTATCTATATTAAATAATATAATAGTATGTACCTGAAAAGAGCCTTGTAATTATTATCATATTAAATATTTCTCAGTAACTTGCCTATCGAGTTCAAGATAAATTTATACAGATGACAAAGAGTTTGATGATAAAGCGTTGATAAATTTGATAATGCAACAAAGTTGATATATATTATAGGTAATAAACATATTATGCTTTGTTTGGAATTTATTAGAAAAAATTAACATTACTATTCTGACTACAAAAAATATATATATAGGGTTGGGATAAAGTATGGAACCAAGTAAATATCTTTAAAACGAATAGGACGATATTTATGAAACTTTGCAGGCAAGTACAATGACGCATAACGCATCTGATGCCATATTTTTTGTTACTGCTGTACTTCCGGTTTCATCGGAAATGCACTCAACTTTTTTAATTTAAAGGGAACACCCTGTATATTTTTGCAGATTTTAAAAGATCTTGTTATTCCGAATTCATACAGTGTCGTAAAATATCTTTTAAAATCTGCAAAAATATACAGGGTGTTCCCTTTAAATTAAAAAAGTTTAGGGTATTTTTGGGAGTACAGTAGTTACAAAAAATATGGCCTCAGATGCATTATGCGTCATTGTACTTGCCTGCAATGTTTTGTAAATATCGTCCTTTTCGTTTTAAAGATATTTACTTGGTTCCATACTTTATCCCAACCCTGTAGTTGATTTGGAAGAAAAGGGTAACATTTAAAAAAAATCAAATATGGGATTTCCATGGGAAACTATTTAAAATTATTTTAAGTTTAACAGGGAAAATGGAATAAGTGAGCTTACACGTTAACGGCATCAGAGAGGAGGTGTAACTCTAGTTTTTACCTAGATGGCGCCCCATAATGATTTTGAATACCCTTTACACCTTAGCTTTGTTTTTGTTTCCCACTCAAATTACATCACACTAATGTAGCGTATAGTAAATAAAAATAGTGGATACTGCCGATACTGGTGGCTCAGAGTAGCTATCGTAAAATAATCCTTAAAACAAACAAAACAAAGCTATATATCTACTACTCCAATAGCAAGCTAACAATTAAGTGTTTTCTTATATTTAAAATTTAAGTTTATTTTAATTTTACTACTTTTATTATTGTTTTTTATATTTTTTCAACCGTTTTAACCCTATATTTGTATATTGTATTTCAACATTTTAATATATCTTAAAACTTTTGTATGTTCTAAAGTTAAGAGTTAGATATAAGAATATAGCCTATGGCTAAATCTCGCTCCATTACTAAAATTTTTGTAACATTTGAAAAATTATTAATAAAGACGGTTTATTATTATATATACAGTTCTTATTATTTTGTATTAGGCATAGCCGTGCTTTCTCACCGAACATGTGGCAACTACGCTACGATATCCCCGCTATCGCTAGCTTTGTGACTGATATTCGGTTCGGCTAATATCCCACCACCATATCTTCTAATTCTAGTCGACGACTCAGACGATTGGCTGTTGCCCCGTTGCCATTTTATTAACTTATATACTAGTCGTATGCCTAACACGAAAAAATAAGCACTTCAGGAGAACGGTATAGAAACATAGCGCTATTGAACAAAGAGAAATAGAATAATACTTAGCCAAGTGCGGACCGCAATATCCCATTTTTACCATCGAAAGGGCGTGGTTAAACCAATTATTCTCTTTATCGCTCTCACGTCCAAATATAATTAAGCGTTTTATCTTTATTTTGCCTGATGCCTTGGTTAACGTACTGTATATGATTATAGGTAATGACAAGGCATAAATATAATGATTTCAATAATTTTAATATACAAATAGGAAACGATAAAATTGAATAAAATAAAAATAAATATTTAGATGTAATAGCTAGTAGATAGCAGGATGTTACATTATATAATTATTGATCAAGTAGACAATCCAAGTATCTAAATCAGTAGTCTCTGAAGAGTATTATAGGTGTACTATCGAATTTTTAATATTGATCCAAATTTAAAAAAAAAAATATACCAAAATCCTTCTCGTCAAATTTTAAACAACTTTTTAAAAATGTCCGAAGTCACGTTTTTTGTCCCCCACGATAAGTCAAAAACGAAAAATGATATCAACTTGAAATTTTCAGAAAAATCAAGCTTTATAAGGCGGCGAGTCTATTGTTTTCGAAAAAATCTGAATAAAATTGGGGTTAAGGGGGGTTGAAATTAAAAAATCTAGAAATAAAAAACGAAAAGCGATATCTACATGAATTTTTTAGTAAAAATTAAGCTCTGTAAAGGGATTAAAAAAAAACGATAACAACATGAAAATCAAGGTCTATGAGTATATAGGGTGTACCAATAAATACTCCCAGGCCGGATATTTTGGTAAGTAATAGAGATATTTTAATTTTGTAAAAGCCAGTTCATAGAGCGCTAAGAGAGCTTCAGTTTTAGATATAAATTAATTTTAAATAGGTCAATATGTAGATGGCGCTGCGCTCAATATATTTTTTTCGATGGGAGGATCTTTCTTATATAACGCATCTTGTAAAAAATGCATTTTTAAGCAGATTTTGTTCTATAAACTAATTCGATAAATCTAGCCATTTTTGATACACTCAAAATAGTTTCATCCTGTTTTTCGTCATTAATCATTGGATTTTTAGAAAATACTAAAACAAGTCGATTTTTATTCCCAATTGAACACATTTTTACAATACAGACATCTGTCATGTGTCAACTCCCTCCCTTCTACTTCCCCAACCCCTTAATTTTAAATAAAAAATGTATCATGTACGGCACATCATTAAAAAGGTAATTTTATGGTGAAGTCAGAAATATGATTGTTGCGATTTTTTTAATTTTAGCGCCCTGTATCGGAATAAAACACCTGTAATGTATTATTGTGACACTTCATTTGAAAGCTAATTTAATTACTAATTCAATGCACCACATATTATTAATATAAATATTTTCATATTCCACTTGCAACAAAATAAAGTTAGCAATAAAGTTTAAAATAATGCATTAATAATTTTCAAACTATTTCAAGTGCGATATGGAGGATATTTATATTAATATTATGTGGTGCATTGAATTAGTAATTAAATTTACTTTCAAATAAGGTGTCACACTTTATAATACGTACATTTTTTTTATCCCCATAGAGGACAATTAAAAGTATTGCAATGAACTGTTATATTTCTAAATTCCCTATAAAAATACCTTTTTAATGATATACTACACATTGTAGTGTCACACTCTATAATATGTAGTAGTTTTTTATCCCGCTAGAGGGCGATAAAATTTAAGTAACGCAATATACAGAAATATTTCTGAATTCTCCATTAAATTACCTTTTCAATGATGTGCCATACATGGTACATTACCTATTTAAAATTAAGGTGTTGAAGAAGTACAAGGGAGGGGGTTAACACATGACAGATGTCTATATTGTAAAAATGTTTTTAATTTGGAATAAAAATCGACCTGTTTTAGCATTTTTTCAAAATCCAATGATTAATGCTGAAAAACAGGATGAAACTGTTTTAAGTGACCCACTCTGTATATAAAAAATGGCTAGATTTATCGAATTAGTTTAAAGAACAAAATCTGCTTAAAAATGCATTTTTTACAAGATGCGTTATATAAGAAAGATCCTCCCATCGAAAAAAATATATTGAGCGCAGCGCCATCTACATATAGACATATTTAAAATTAATTTATATCTAAAACTAAAGCTCTCTTAGCGCTCTATGGACTGGCTTTTACAGAATTAAAATATCTCTATTACTTACCAAAATATCCGGCCTGGGAGTTTTTATTGGTATACCTATTATGAAAAAAAAAAAAAAAAAACGATTAAAAATGGCGGGTTAAACAGTGAAGAGTATAATATAGAATGCCAAGCATTATATCCTCATCCTAGTTACTTATTAAGCCAAATTGAAATTAGCAGATTACAGAAACTCCAAAATAGAGGAACGAGAGTAATCTATCTTGTGATAGGAGAACATATAATTATATAAACATTAATGCTAAATACATTACGTTTATCTGTTAAAAATTGCTTTCTATATCTAACATTAATATTTATTTATAAAATAAAAATTGGTGAAATTCCCGTATATTTACATGACAAATTAACAGGCCCGACGAGAGTGAGGGGCAAGGTGAGCAAAATCCCCGGGCTCAGGCGGGCCCGACAGCTTTAAAAAAAATTGTGCCAGTGTTAATTTTGCCCCGGGGCCCCACCATGGCCCTCGGCGCCCCAACAAATTAACCAATAACTTTGAATATAATAATGTATTATAATACAAGAAATCGTACTGACTATTCGTCAAGCTAATAATGTAAATGCAATTTTTATTAAAGGACTACAGGAATTTAATGAGAATGCTACTTCCTTAAATATATTTAAGAGTAAATTTAAATGCCACATTTTAATACAACAAAAAATATGGGTTATGAACAATAACAATGGATATTAAATTTATGGAACCTGCTAATACATTTTTTAAATTCATATTTAATTATGGTATAGTTTCACTGAATACCTATTTATGTATTTTAAAATTTTAAAATTATTTTTGCATTTCTATTGTATTTTATATATTTTTTTTTTTGTACTAAATAAAGGATTAATATAAACAGACGCCTAACATTTTTCTGTTCATTTTCCAGGTCGACGATCTAATAAAAGTAAAATGTCTGGACAACTTCCACTTGGCCATGATCGGCCGCTACCTGACCACCGAGGACGAAGACGACTCGTCCGAAATTGAAGAAACGCGACCGGGTATCCTTACCAATGGCTACACGATGCCGAATCAGAGCAACGCAAAACCTAACGGCTTACCCCAACGGTTGTCCATCAGAAACGGCCTCACCAACTCGAACGCCATCGACATATTCGAATTGCTGTCGGCTTATTCTCCCAGACCTGTCGTGAGAGAGGTGTTCAATTTTACCAGGAACGAGGAACCTGCTCTGCGGGTGGCCTCCTGGAATTTGCAAGACTTTTCTTACGAAAAAGCAGGGAATCTGGGAGTGAAGGAGGTCGTTTGCAGGACTATCTTAGAAAATGGGTAAATTTACTTAAAAATATTCTAGTAACTTATTTTTATGAGCATGGGAGTTCTGACACAAATGCCATTTTTTACATTTAAATATCCACAATGCTGGCAAGATCAAACCTTTGGTCCTGATTTGCTTGTGTTGGGGGAATAGAAAATAGCGTTCGCATGTGCAGGAGAAGAAAGGATGGAGTATTGATGTTGCCAGTTACCGATAGGTAGTGGGATACCAAATCATGACTGGATCTGTTAATACTGCATTGGTAACTGTCGTTTATTATTCTTGCATGTGAGAGCTCCATTTATTAATCTTTCCAACACAAGCAAAGCAGGGCCGAAGGTTTGATACTGCCAGGCCAGTAGTGTATAAGAAAATCAAATGATAGATCTGTATTTTTTTCAGATTTTCTATAATAGCCATTCAAGACATACTAAATGTAACAGCTTTAAGAATAATTTGCGACGAACTTAACAACCCGAAATTGCAGAGGGTGAAAGAATGGGGAAAAACTAACCACCATCATTGGAATTTTTGCATGCTGGACCTGCACAATTCCAAATTGGGATTTGTATACGATTCAGATGGCGGTATGTACAATTTTTTAAACTTCCATGACGATTTTGACGTTTCGAGAGCCGTTTTGGCGCTTAAGGGTATGGTCCGTTATTAATCAAAATATCGGTTACTCGGTCCAAAACTAACCGCTCTGCTTGACATTCCTGAAAAATCGGTTAAATTAGGGACGCGGTTAACTGAAAATGGTGACTCAAACGTCAATTTACTAACCGCTATATTTTTACGTTTACTATTAAGTCGAATGTCAATATGTTACAAAAGTGACGTAAATCTCGGCCATGGTCCAAATATAACCAATAAATTAGTTTTTTCAGGAACCGCTGTCAAAAAATCCTGGTTACTTGCGGTTAGTAGTCGGTTAATAACGGATCATACCCTTGAATTACCTGTTTGACATTTTAAATTGTGTTTTTCTGTTTGACATGAAGTTTATTAGTTGACATTAAGGGTATAGTCCGTTATGAACCGACTATACTAACCGCAATAAGTAACCAGAATTTTTTGACAGCGGTTCTTGGTTATATTTGGACCACAACCGAAATTTACGTCACTTTTGTAACAGATTGACATTCGACTTAATAGTAACCGTAAAGATATAGCGGTTAGTGAATTGACATTTGAGTAACCATTTTCAGGTAACCACTTTCCTAATTTAACCGATTTTTCAGGCATGTCACGTGGAGCGGTTAGTTTTGGACCGAGTAACCGATATTTCAGTTAATAACGGACCATACCCTAACTTTTTGACGTTTCAAATGATCTTCTTGACATTTTAAGTGATGATTAACAGATTAGAGCATTAGACGGTATTTTATTTCAGGTATGCCAGTCGATTTGTTGTCTTTGAGCGAAGGCCCGACCGACACGAAGGGTGAGTGCGAAGCGCTGGTCGCTTCGTTTAAAGTGGGCAATTCTAATCTGCAATTAGTTAACCTTATGTTGAACCAAAGTACAAATTTGGACGTTTTGAGCCAAAAGTTCAAGGAATTGACGTCGGAGAGTGACTTACTTATGGTATTCGTTGATTATACTGATGTGGGGATGTTGACAGGTGATAAACGTTACTTTTCGTTTTTTTTTTTTTTTTAATGTTTAATAGGTAAAGACATTATTCTTACACAATGGATAACATTTTTTTGTTTCAGATGATCATTTCAACATGGGTAACCTCAAACCAGTCTTCTCCCAAAACTCTAGCACAACATTCGTCCATCCCCCTGCATCCGGTTCGAGTTTCCACACTGCGAACATCTTATACAATCCCAGAGTACTGAAACAACTGACAGGCGTCAGCGGCGTTGTGAAACAAGGTCTCGTGCACCTCGCGATACCTAACGGCTGGTCGTGGGGCGGGCCGGCCAGCCATTATTGCCCCATTTACGTGGAACTGTTTGCCAATTCCTCCAACGACGTAGTCGCTTTGTGATATTTAGTTTTATTTAGCCTGGTTTTAGCGATTTTTGATCATGTTACTGAGACCATTTTGGAGTATTGATGGTCATTAGAAAAATTTATATTTATTATGAAGAAGTAGCGTGAGAACATGTATTAGCAAAATATGTTGCTAGAAATGATCCCAGAGAAAAATCTTTCTTTTGAAGTATTTTCAATAACTGTGAGAAACATAAATTTCAAACGTCAAAATGTTTGGAATCATTCAAAACATTGCTTAATATATTGATTTATTAAATATATAAAATACTGTATACCTAATGGTTCCTCTGTATTCTACTGGTTTTTGTATTTATCATCTAACAATGCAGCTATCTGTACAAGACAATGCATTGTCTGCTGCTTGACAACACACCATTAACATAAATCAACGAATTTATCAACAAAATGAAAAAAAAAGCAATGAAATAGTTGTGAAAATTGAGAAATTTTTTCCTGTCCAATTTTATTTGACTTTCTATGACACTTCTTCACCTAGTGTAGAGGTATAGAATTAATTTGAGTACTAGATTTTGAGAACAAATCAATCAAAACTGACATACATATCTAAGGGGAATAGCCCACCAGAAGCCTCTTGTACATTGATTAAACATTGCTCTGGTTTTCTTAAGCACACTTAATATTACAAAAAGAGTTCAAACAGAATCATTTTTTTGTATTATAATGGGTTTGTTTTGGTTCAAACAGAACCGCTGATTCTAGTTCTCAAATACAGTGGACGAATTAATTTTTCAAGAACACGTCGCCAGGTTATAACAACCTCTTAGCTGATCGAGTGTAATTCAGTGATTCTGAAATAGTTTCCAAAAGAACCAAAACAAGCCTTATTATAGCTTAGAATTTTTTCATTTAGGCAAAAATACCAAAATTGTGCCAAAAATTAAGAATGAAAAAATATAATTAAAAGAAGGCAACTAAATGTACATTGTAAAATAATATTAGGTAATTAGAAAAATGTTTGTGTAAATTTTAGTCAAATTTAAATGGTATGTATATATACCAAAAATAAAAGAGCTCTATGTGCACAATATAAAATATTGAACTATTTATTTGAAGCCAAAGAATTACATCTAGTGCTAAAAATGTAAATATTTTGTTTTTTTATAATGCTACTGGTAATCGATTAAAACTTTTTTGGCTGTGTTTAAAGTTTTCAAGCCTGTATTTTTGTTTTAAAACCTATTTTAAATTTAATATTCTTTATACAAATTTAAAATAAACTTTGTAGGAAATTTCACAATATTTTATCAGTTTTACATCACACCATTTTCTTATACATCACTCTTTTTAACAAATTTGTACATATTTATTTATTTTTAATAAATGTTATACATGTTCTAGATGTTTTTATTGAAAAATAAAATAAAAATTCAATATATGTAGAAATTATTTTTATAAAATTGATCAACATACAATACAATAATCTTTCACATTACTAAAAAAGCATCAGTAAGGTCTAAAATGCCTTTCCTTATTATGATACCCCCTATCCCTATCTCCATAATAGTTACTGCTCTGTTCTTCCCTGTCTTCTCTTCCATAATTCCTGAAATTGTTATAGCTACCTCCTGGTCTGTCTCGATCTCTGTTGTTAAACCTCTGTTTTCCGTACCATGGTGTTACAATTGGGGGTGGAGGTATTTCAGAATCAAAAACTCTCTTAAACTCTAAATCTGAATCTGTAAAACGCTCGAAAAACTCTAAATTACATTCCTCTAGAAATGCTTCTTGGTCTTTAGTTAATCCAGTCATCTTTAAGTACTTACTAATAGAAAATCCTGTTAAGTATAAACTATAGGATACAAATTTTTGAAAAGAATTAACAAGCCAGCGATATATTATACGCCACATAAAATAAATAATTGTTTATTTCCTTTTTTTTTTATTATTTATTTGGTTACGTTTTTGACAAGTACAGCTTTTGACGTTTGGCATTGGCCTTGAAATTTGATGCAACCAATCACTCCGATGTGTTCAATTTGTCTTACAGAGTAAAGCTCTTGTGTATGAATTAAAAGAAGCCCAAAAGTCATTGGCGTAGCCGCAGGAGAAATAAGGGGGACCGAATTGCGCAAAAAAAAAGGTTAACATTAAAAAAGGTGAGCCAATGAAGAGACGATTTAAAAAAAATTAGAAAATACTCAAAAAAATCAGTTCGTTTAATGTACACGAAATAATTAAAATGCAATCGCACAAATAAAAATAAGTACACTGGATGGGGAAAGTGATTTATACAAGGTGTTTGTAAATAAGTGCGAAATATTTCAGAGGATTTACCACTGAACTCTATACAGTTCAGTGGTGGTTAACGAAGTTATTTTGTTAAATATCAAAATAACTTCGGCAACCACCTTCTATATTCAAACAGAACAGACAGATGACCATATATAAAATCAGGAATAAAAGTATTGTATTGAATAGCCCTTTTATAACGTGTATATATGTCAAAATAAATGCCAACGGTTCCAAAAAACAACATTTAAGGTACATAGACTAATTTTGAGAATTTATTGTTGAAGTCATTAACAAAGCAGGAATGGGCCCGTTCACTTTCATTTTTGAATGTGAATTAATTATATATTTATAAAGATATTAAACTCTTTTGTCTGGTGGTACTTTTCCCGTTAAGATATGTTTGCTAGAAGTAAGGGAATTCCCATAAAATTCTTTCAGTGACTCATTGCGTCAGAAAATCCCTATTTCCGTTCACGTCTCGTATCGGTTATGCTTAAAGACGGCGGGGTTGTCGGAATAAGTATCCCTAATATACCATTTCTGCATTTATATATGTAATTTAAATAGTAAAATTCCATTATTTTTCTAAAAATCGTGATGTTATATTTTCAGATTTAAAGCTGGGAGCTTATTTTTTTTTTTAATTAAAACAATTATTATTACTCAGGCTGAAAATTAACCAGACCATAATCAAAAAGAAATTTGATTTGCAATATTTATCTGGTAAACGTGGCAACGTTGCATTTATTTCTAGAAGTGTGTGTAGACAACACTATTTAGAAGTACTTTCAACGTTGTCACGTTTACCAGATACATTTTCTCAAATAAAATTTCGATCTGGTAATATTCAGCTTGGGTAATACTAATTGTTTTTATTAAAATTTAAAAAAGGTAAGGCTTCCAGCTTTATCTGAAAATATAAACACATTATTTTAAAAAAATAATATATTTTCATAATGTAAATTTCTTTAATACATGCAGAAGAGGAATGGTGGTGCAATGATACATCCGACAACCGCGCCCTTTTAACTATTAACCGATACGAGACTTGAAGGGAATTAGGGATTTTCTGACGCATGCAATGAGTCACTGAAAGAATTTTATGGGAATTCCCTTACTTCTAGCAAAAATATCTTAACGGGAAAAGTACCACCAGACAAAAGAGTTTAATATCTTTATAAATATATAATTAATTCACATTCAAAAATGAAAGTGAACGTAAAACACTTTTGGAAAATTATAATACACTTGATATTTCTATACTATAAAAAATACCTATAGTACTGCAAATTCATTCATTCATTTTAATACCGATGTCTCTAAGTCCAATTACTGTCTGCGAATTATATGTAGAGATAGTTAAATAAATACCGTATTTACACAGATTGACCTGTTCTGTGTCCTATTCCACTAAAAAGACGACCAAATATAAACACAAAAAACCACGTGTCAAATCTGCGCATGCGCGGTTGCATAACTTTGAACCTGTTTTGATAAGTACTTCGATACGAGTGTACATCTACTTCGAGAGGTGATCCACCCCTTGTTTCATATAATTGTCAACTTACTACGAGTTCTTGCATAGAAAAATAAAAAGTTCTTGTTACAAGGATTGTTTATGGTTATAATTCGGAATTGACTTAACATATACATATAAGACTTAAAACGCACAAAAGGCTTTCAAAATTACATTAAAAAATTTGCATTCTTAATGCCAGTGTTTGTATTTTTCTCCTTGCAACTATCATACTTATCTATAGTAGAAGGCGATTTCCTGAAAAGTATGCAATTTATTTATTTTGAAGTATGACAGCAGTGTAAGCAAGCGTCCTAGTCGTAAATACTCATTCATTCACAGTCGTGTGCTCGCACCTCGTATAAACAAGCTCGCACAAACCATCTTCTCTCAATTTAGCAACTGTCTTGTTCTAATGGGGCAGCTGATGGGACAGCTCTCCGTCTAATATAAAACACAATCTGAATTCTTGCAATAAATAAAGGCTTAAATTATGAATGAATAGATTAGTCTAGTAGTTGTTCGTCATTGATCAAGATCATGCAATTTAATAAAAATATGAATTTTATAGGTTAGGTATATGCTTAAAACACATTATGACAAATTCTGGTATTCAAAATAGCACCATTTCCAAAGTTGCAGATTAAATTATAAGTTTCAGGAATATATACAATTACATGAATACAAAAATTGAAGCGATCAAAAACCATATTTTATTGTTTGCTTTAAAAAACTTACAGAAAATAAAACATCAACTAAACTTTGCTTAATCTAAAAAGAATTACACCTATAATCAAGAATACAAAAACTTAACTAAATCACTTAACCTTTATATATGGCATGCTGCCACTGACAAACTTTTTTAAACATCCTCTGGCTTAAATATGAACTATGATCTGCCTAGACCCATACGGTCTAGAGCTAGAGCGATTGGGAGTTGTTTTGCAAATCCTGCTTTTTCTATTAACAGGCAATTAACCGAATGTCAATATCAAACAATAAATAAATAACAAAATATTATTCTTCCACAACTTTGAACAGTGGTAGCATTTAAAACAGAAGAAAATGTTTTAAAAAAATAAACAGATCTCAAAGGAAAACAAAAAAATAATTCTAAAAACTAAACATTGATTTTCACACTAAAAAATCAATTTAATACTTGTCTGCAATTTGCAACAACAAATTATCCATTCGTGAAGCAGCATTACACCCATATGTCTCTTCCCACACAAATTGGTCTATATACTCAAATAAGAATGGACTAGATATTACATCTAATCTCCTTAGATACTGCTTAAGTTTTGACCAGTATCCTTCCACCTGATTTATACAAACCCCTGTTTCAGGATCCTTAAAAAACTTAGGATGATTGACGTTTTTGTGGACATATCCCAAATTATTTAAGTTGTTGTAACTTGCAAATGTGTCCGTCCATATTTCGGAGCCAGGACGGACATGTCTTTGAATTACATCCTCCAATGCCTCTTGGCTTCTATTAGGAACACATTGAATATATCCCTTCTTTATGGAAATGTCATATATTGCTATTATCCAACATTCTGGATCTATTCTTTCCCTGTTAGATTTCCTTTTTGTTATAGTATATTCCTTAATTTGTACCGTAATCCCTTCTCCTCCTATAAGAACAAATGATTACCTTCGGGTTTCGCTTATAAGAAAAATTATTATACCTAACAAAACATTTCCATCTCTAATTAACTTCCATGAAATAACATCCCTAAAATACCGATATAATTGAATAACGGCATTTTTCGACATATTCGTAGCAGCCGCTGTTACACCAACTCTGCTACCTCTGTAGCCCAGTACCACATAATTAATATCACCATAGGAACGTTAATTTTAACATTTTCAAAAAAAGATTTACTGAATATTGAATAACTTTTTCTGCACTTTTTACAGAAATATGTATATTTAATTGAATTGCACAATTTTTTTTTGTGTTTAACACACTCCCTTCTACACACCCTACAAACAAATTTTTGCCGGTTAACCATGCTACAAATTCTTCGTCGGTTTTCTTATAAATATCCACGACATCGATAATGCTTTGAATTTCCATTTTTGTTAATAATAATAGAGACCACAATATATCCCCTATAGTAATGTAACTGGGATTCAAGAAATGGCTTTGAGTTACGCTGCGGCCAGACACAGGTCTCATGGCGCTAGTATCGTTATTGATTTTTGACTTCGGCACGTTCATTGGTTGACGACGAATTCAAAACAATCTGATCGGAGCGTTACTCACTCCCACTCCTTCTCTTTGTTTAGATACTTATAAAAGAAAGAGATACCAGTTAATAATTTCTATTTCGAATCATCTTTCATTCTTTAGCGTTGAGTTTTTATAAGTGAAGCGTGAAGTGTCAGTGTTGACAAGTGATAATTTTTTGATTTTTTCTTCTACGAAATTTAATATTAATTTTGTTTCAGCGATATTTATTGTGATTTGTGTTGTTGTATTAAGTGCTTTCTTATTTAATATGGGAAACAAAACGTACAACAAACTCAGAAAAAGAGGAATCGAGGAGGGATTGCTATCTATGGCTGTCATCCAAGGGTCTGCGCCCTAGATAATACTTTTCCAGTGGGAAAAGCCTTTAAAATTCAAGTATAACAATTTTATGTTTCCGTTTTCCCTTCTTTTAATGTAGGTGCCAATTTTGAGGTAAGTTTGTAATAATTTTTCATATTTTTTCAGTTAATACCTACCCTCTTAATATTATAATTTAACTATGATCTTATGCTTTCCTATGGACACGATTCAAGGAGGGAGTCCTATGGCTGTCATCCAAGCCCTAGATAATAGTTTTCCAGTGGCAACAGCCTTTAAAATTCAAGTATAATAATTTACTTTTTTCGAAGTAGATGTCCATTTAAACTAAATTTTTTTATTTCACTTATTGATTTTAGCATTTATATACAGTATCGGCTAATGAACACTTTCCAATACGCTTGGCTAGAATCGAAAATAAAACTAAAGAGTTAGCGCATTAGTTCGATCAGGAAACGAATAATATGAATGTTGCCTTGTGTGCTGTGTAATATGAACAGGCACACGGTGTGATGCATCCACACGTAGCCGGCTGGCTACGTTCATAGTATTCTATTCCTTCTCCCACTAATGCTAACTCTTTGTAGTTTTTACTTGGACATTAGCAAAACTTATTGTACAACATTCGATAGCTGCCACTCTATTATCACAAACATCTCTTAATAACTAAATGATTTCATTTAATAGTTTCTTCTTTTTTTTTCAGTAAAATGGATATGGCTAGAGTTATCTTCGTCTTTAAAATATATTAAAT